TTAAATTAATTAAATTATTTAATTAATTAAATTAATTCAATTATTTAAATTAATTAAATTTAATTAAATTAATTAAATTAATTAAATTAAGTAAAATAATTAAATTAATTTAATTAAATTAATTGAATTAATTCAATTTATTAAATTAATTAAATTAATAAAAAAAATTAATTAAATTAATTAAATTAAAGAAAAAATTAAATTAATTAAATTACTTAAATTAATTCAATTATTTAAAAACATTAAATTAATTAAATTAATTAAAGTACTTAAATGAATTAAATTAATTAAATTTTTTAAATTAACTAAATTAATTAAATGAATTAAATGAATTGAATTAAAGAAAAAATTAAATTAATTAAATTAATTAAATAAATTAAATTTAATTAATTTAATTAATTAAATTTATTAAATTTATGAACATAATAAAATTAATTAGATTAATTTAATTAAATTATTTGAATTAATTAAATTAATGAAATTTATTAAAATAATTAAATTAATTAAATTAATTAAATTTATTAAATTAATTAAATTAATAAAAAATTAATAAAAAAAATCATTAAATTAATTAAATTAATTAAATTCATTACATTAATTCAAGTAATTAAATTAATTAAATAAATTAAATTGATGAAATTAATTAAATTAATTAAATTAATTAAATTCATTAAATTCATTAAATTCATTAAATTAATTACATTAATTAAATTAATTAAATTCTTCAAATTAATTAAATTAATTAAATTCATTAAATTCATTACATTAATTAAATTAATTAAATTAATTAAATTCTTTAAATTAATTAAATTAATTAAATAAATTAAATTAATTAAATTAATTAAATTCTTTAAATTAATTAAATTAATTAAATTAAAGAAAAAATTAAATTAATTAAATTAATTAAATTAATTAAATGAATTAAATTAATTAAATTCTTTAAATAAATTAAATTAATTAAATGAATTAAATGAATTAAATTAAAGAAAAATTAAATTTTAAATGAATTAAATGAATTAAATTAAAGAAAAAATTAAATTAATTAAATAAATTAAATAAATTAAATTTAATTTATTTAATTAATTAAATTTATTAATTTACGAACATAATTAAATTAATTAGATTAATTTAATTAAATTATTTAAATTAATTAAATTAATGAAATTTTTTCAAATAATTAGATGAATTAAATTAATTCAATTTATTAAATTAATTAAATTAATTAAATTAATAAAATAATTAATTAAATTAATTAAATTAATTAAATTCATTAAATTAATGAAATTAATGAAATTAATTAAATTAATTCAATTAATTTAATTAAATTAATTAAATTTTTTGAATTAATTGAATTAAGTAAAATAATTAAGATTAAATTAATTAAATTAATTAAATTAATTAAATTTATTAAATTTATTAAAATAATTAAATTAATTAGATTAATTTAATTAAATTATTTAAATTAATTAACTTAATTAAATTTATTAAAATCATTAAATTAATTAAATTAATTAAATTAATTAAATTAATTAAATGAATTAAATTTATCAAATTTATTAAATTAATTAAAATAATTAGATTAATTTAATTAAATAAATTAAATTAATGAAATTAATTAAATTAATTAAATTAATGAAATTCTTTAAATTAATTAAATTAATTAAATTAATTAAATTAATTAAATTAAAATTTAAACAATTTAACTAATTTAATTAATCTAAAAAAGGTAATTAATTTAATTAATTTAATTAAATCAAAAGACAGAAAATCGGAGGAGAGCAAAGCAACAAAATAGTACCTGAAGGTCCCTCGATCATATATATATATATATTATATGTACATATATACATCTAGAAAATTCTAGAAATATCTCTTGTGAATGCTGCTCAGGTTGCATGGCAGCCGCTATGTCGATGCTCTCCCAGACACGGATCAGCAGCTCGAAAATGCCATCGTCGCTGGGCTTTCTCCCCGCACACCGAAATTGATGCCAGATATCTTGATGAAATTTGGTCAGATGCGTATAAATTACTTATAAACAACTATTAACCCCTATAAACCATTATGAATCGTTAATGTGGAACTCGGAACTCGGATCGACATCGACTCGAGGTTATGGGCGATCTTGCGTGGGTCAAGGACAGAGATGGCTCGCGCGACGAGCGCGACGAGCGCGAGCCGAGTCGACAGGACGGGGGCCTGGGATTCCGCTGGGCTTCGCTGGGCTCCGTAGGACTGTGTGAAGAAAGGCGCCAACGTGAACTGCCGATTGGACGAGAAAGGATTTACTCCACTGATGTTGGCCAGCGAAGGCCCAAGGGGCAAGGTCTCTATTTAGGTCAATGCGCACATGTAAATGATGTAAATGATGTAAATGTATATGCATACATAATTACACAATATGTAAACATGTACTTATATAGTTAGTTGATTGATTCATTAAAAAGTTGATCAATTTGATGAATCATAATCATGATCTGATATCTTGTCTGCCTATGAGTGTATAGACATGTATAGACTATCAAGTAACTTCCCTAATTTTTGGTGGTCAAGCAGAAAGAGACATTTTGGTCTCCAGGCGGATGGGCCAACATTGTGCGATATCTGGTGGAAAACACCGATGTGGACTTGGAAGCCGTGGACTCTGGAGGCTGGAGATGGGTGGATCATCTCGGATGGCCGTGACTCGCTGCGGATCCGTTTCTGTTTGAGGTTTCAACGCTGCGGACATTGCAGCGCTGAACGGATACCTCAGTTGGGAAGAGAGAGGACAGCTGGACAGCTTTTGCCCAGGCATTCAGAGATATTCAAGGCCTGTTGCATATATTTTTTGTATAATATATATATATATATATTTGCAGGAAAAAACTCCGATGTCGCGGACATAGTGAACTACCTCAAGGCCTCAGGGGGATCGGGATCGATCGGGATCCGCAGCAACCAGCGGGATCCGCAGCAACCATCGTTCTGTGAGGATCGTGGCCTGGAATATACCTGGCGTGGGGCAGTGATTGGAGGGGACCTGGACCGCATCAATGAATTCTTGGAGAACGGCCAAGATATTGAAGAGCGCACAGGCTACCTGATCTACCTGGGATGTGGAAAGCATTTCCCATCCAATGATTCATCTTTTGGATGATTTTGCAATCAAATACATGAAAAGTACATGGTACATTCGGTACATTTGAGTCTTTGATAGCGGATCATAGATTGATTTCAATGGCCCAGGTTACTATTGTGAAGGAAACTTGGCTTTCTGGGCGGGGTGACGGCTTCACGGTGGGGAGAATGGCCATGGTACTGTTGGCTTTTTAGAGGAGGGCAAAAGGGCTGACGCTTCTGATGGGAGAACATTTGCTACGCCTGTTGGGGTAGCCAACCACTTGCACTCTTTTATTCCGAAAGACAACGGCGAAGCTGAGTCTCTAATGCAATCGAATTCGATCAGACTCTTCAGGCGTCTTGATGCTTTGAATCTTCAATTGTTGCTTCTGGATTTATTGACTTGGTTAGGATTAGTCGCTGCACTGCTCCGTTACACAACCATGGGAGTCCACTTGTGTCCACAACCGCGGGAGCCTCTCAGACCAGCGATGCAGCACAATTCTGCCAAGGAAATTACCAGTACACTGCCTTTCAGATGGCCATGAAGTTTGGTCGACAGAACATTGCGAGATATTTGTTGTGTCCGGATGCTCAGTGCTCTGGTTTCCAACCCAGCATATGAAGTACATGCTCTCTTTTAAAGTGAATCCACCCACTGTTTGGGGTCTACGGTGGTGGATTTTTCAAGTAACAACAGCTTGATCCGCAACAGCGTCTGCACTAGTTCCCCACCTGATCTCCGGATCTCAGTGGGCACTGTCAGATAGGATGCCCGAAAGATTGTCAGAATGGATGATAAAATGTCAAAACAATATGTCAGGCGGGGAGCACTCGAAGTAAAGTAATTTGTGGATCTTTTTTCGTTTTCTCAAAATTTGTAACGCATGTGTCAGGATTCCCCGGCTGAGCATGACATTGCCTTTGCTTTTTGAGATTTTTGCCCTGACCCCGCTTCCAACCTGCAAACAAACGGACAAAGTGGCACAAGGTGCAAGCCGAACACCTGTCTCTAAAGAGCGCTGAATTTGGATGTAAGACAGATGCACGTTACATCAAGTTACTGTATTTCTTTTTTGGGGCACCGAACTGGAAAACTTTGTCTTTCAGCCAGCAGCCCGAGCTCGGGTCGATCTTCGGGTCGATCTGAGGTTTGGGTGCAGTGATTCCGAGAGACATTTGCGAAACGCAGATTCCCTTCGAGAGTGAGTTGAAGGGTCTCACCTGATGGGCCCCTTTGGGGGCTGGGCTCAACCATGTGGCCCATCTTCCCATGAGATAAAAAGAAGAAAATTGCTGAAAATTGCAGAGCAGTCGTTTCAAAATTGTTGCTTCAGGTGATGTTTTGGAGAACTTTCAGCTAAAGTCTCCTGATTGCATTCCAAGAGTCACATGGACAATCCAGTACAGCCTGGGTTTCCTGGTGACCAGCGCCAGCGCATGAAAACGGCCATGGCAGCATCATCCTGGATCCCTGAATCATATTGACCCCTTAAAGTGCCAAGCAATTCCGGTATGAGCCTTCTTACTCAGGAACCCTCTGTATGAGCAATTATTGGATATGTCCCCAGTGCAGTTGTTTCCTGTATATCCCGATTTTGATCCCCATTTTTGAAGGCTACATGGCTTTCCGGGTATAAATGAGTCAAACTTGACCAAAGATTGGATGTAGAATCCTAGCAATGACCAGCGCATGGCTCGCAACAGCCAGGCTCCAGCCGCTATGCCCCAAGCCCCTGTGGCCCCTGCAGCCCCTGTGGCCCCTGCAGCCCCTGTGGCTCCTGCAGCCCCTGTGGCCCCCGCGTCGCTGCGGCCATCTGGACAGCGGGAGCTGTCCGAAGCGCGACGCCAGGTGCGGGGGCGAATTGCCCAAATTGGGTGTGTGGTCATTTGATGTCATTTGATCAGTGGATGTAGTCTGGCAAGTTATGCAGCGAGACTCCAAGTGTCAAACTTGAACTCAAAGACAGGGTCAAGACGGTCAAGATTTTTTGAGGCCTCTGGTTATCGCAGATGGAAGTATCATCCAAAAACCAAATCACAAAAGCTAGCGTTTGCTAGTTTGCTAGCTGAAGTTGCTCTTGGTGCATAAGTTTGATTGGCAGGGCAGGAACAGCCTTTTTAAACTTCATATTTATACCGCACCCTCCTCTGCCCGTTGACTGGGCAATGGATAGGGGCTCGATTTCCCTAGGGCCGTCCCTGTTAACCAAAGTTTCGCAGTCATGCGTCCTGATTTCGTCAGCTTGGGGGAAGATATTTCGTGATATTTTACCAATCGTTTGAATATGAGCCAACTTTCTCAGCAAAAACAGCTCCACCTTGGGTGTTTCTTCTTCTTCTTTTTGTCTTCACCGTCTTCACCGTCTTCACCGTCTTCATCGTCTTCATCTTGCTTCACTTTTCGGTCGCAAAATGCTAGCGAAGGCTTGCTGACCTGTAGTCTTCAGAGAAGCCACAATCAGATCAACCCCGTGGGTAGTCCAACACCGTGAACAGCTCACTGACTAGGTCCCTTGGTACCTCTGCACGACCAAAAAGCCACGTTGCGTGGACATGACTAGGAAGGTAAAGTGCTAGGACAGCGTAGCCAAACATGGTAAGTGGCATCCCACAAGCTGCACGGTCCAAAATAATAAAAAACCAACCCTCCGCAAAAGGGGACTGCACACAGTCAGACAGGCAAGATTCGGCAAGATGACCTCTCAAAGGGTTCCCCGACGAGCAGAATAGCCATCCACAAATCTACAACGACGCCTTGATGTTGTACAAAAAGGTGCACAAAGATGGAAGCCTTCGGACCTTCGGAGTCCGACCGGAGCAGGAAGGACTGGCGATTCCTTCGCATCTCCCCGGAATTTTCAGTCTCGAGGGTCGAGCTGTGACTGAAGTGCCCGCGCAGCTTTCGTCCCTTACCCGTAGCCTCAAGTATTGACTGCGCCAAACCAGATAAGAGACTGTAAGGCTTGTGCATAAACATGGAGCAAGAACATAATAATACATAACAATAAAGATCAAAGTCAAAACATACCAATTTTTGGAGCTTCTGGGGGATGCTTAATCATGACTTATCTCCAGCTGGTTCAAGTTTCCCTATGTTGTCTGGCAGGTGAAGAGGTCATGGATCCAAGGTCTAAGCAAAGGCCGGGCGAACTGATCATTTGACCATAAATGGCTTGAAGGGAAAATGGATGGTACCATAGTGATTCATAGAGAAGACTTGGGATTTACTTCCAAAATTGTGCTTTCCAGTTCTGATTTTTTGAAGCTGAGAATTGTTTGACTCCTGGGACTCCTGGGGGAGAATGGTGCCGGCTGGTGCCGGCGCTTCAGGTCCTAGTCTTTGGCAGGCGGGCTCCCGGTGGTCCCAGCTATTGATATTGGAACCTGCAGGGATACCCCAAATCATCCAGCTATTTGCACAGCCATTTTAGGAACAGGAAGCCATTTTAGATATTTTAGGACCCTGTACAGGAAGTGTTTCAGAGAACAACATCAGTATTTCTGAAGGTATTATTTTTGAATCAATCAGTCATTTTTGGATGCTAATATATTGGTGCATACATGGGGGTACCTCCAAATCCACCAATCAATGATCATTTTCCCGTTGTTTACATGGCTACCAATGGGGCATTTCCAACTTTTTAGATGCACCCATTTCAACCACATGCTTGGAATCCATTACCAATGATATAGTTTAATCCCGTTGATAGCAAGTTGATGATTTTCCCACTTTGTGTATATCCACTTTAAATAATAAATAGATATAAATAGATGATCTATAGATGATCTATATCCATCTATATCCCAGATAGTTGATTTTTTAATCACCAAATAGTGCTTTCAGTAGGACTTTCCATGAAATCATCCAGCGAGCATCATCTCTCCAGATCTTGCAGCAGCAGCTGTGTCTCAAAGAGGACAAGAAAAATGAGGCACCACTCGTGGCTCCGGGGATGTAATGATTCATTTAAGCACACAACCTGAAGATCTTAATTGGGTTTAATGCTTTAGTGAATTAGAATAATTAGAAGCTATTTAGCTGTGCCAAGTTCTGTTCGGAGCTAGTCGCATAGATTTTTCCGCAGAAAGAAAAGGTCGAAAATTCATTTCTTATGGCACCAATCACCAATCACCTATTTTTCCCTGTTGTTTCACCATTTCGAGAGACAGGCATATATCTTCATTTCTTATGGGATGTTCCAGTGATCGGAAAATCTGCTTCAATCTTCTCGGATTTTTTCTCCAGGAGCGGCTGAGCACCAGGCACGACATTCAGATGGATGTAGCCTCTGGTTTTTTCAACATCGTTGTGGAAAATCACCATTTTTGATAGGTAAATCTTACAGAGATGGGCCATGGATTCCATAGTTATGGCAAAAAATGCATGACGAATGGTGTCTTTGGACAACAAGCCACTTGCGGATCTCGCCAGATCCATGAAAATTCAGCAGTTTTTACCCCTTTTGCGGAACTTGGGGCAGGATCCATGGAACATCTCATCACTGTCCTCAGTCTTGGCAAAGTATTGGCTCTGTCGTTGATTGTTGACTTCTGGGAACAGATCAGTTCCGATAGGAAATCGGAAATGCCATTGGAATAGCCATGAAACATGAAAGCACTGGGATCAGCACAGCGAAACGAATTTCTGATGCTAGATGCAGCTGTTCCCAGGGTTTGTTGAGCTGTAGCCAGCGCGGACAATTGACGGGAAATGAGGACCTACTAAGTGGTCCACTGCTTATTTACTCATAGTACAACTCATTGATCCGACTACATATATTCCTATACGTATTGTATATTACTATTTATATATTGCTTTATATGTATATATATATTACTATATAAACATATATGACTATACAATATACATTAATTACAATATACATTAATTACTCTATATACATTACTGAATATACATTACTATATATATATACATTACTATATATATATACATTACTATATATATATACATTAATATATATATATAATATACATTACTATATATATACATATATATATATACATATATACATTACTATATATACATATGTATACATACTATATATTCACTATATTCCTCATACCCAGCTGCACTGCGAGCATTAGGCATCCTGCCTCGAGTCCGGACGTCGAGGTGCGAAAAAATCGACGTGTTTCGTTTCCACGGTTTCCACGGTGGGATGCGACGTGTGGATTTCCTGAAAATCTACGGAAAATCCATGAACTTTGATGATTGTCTTGGTGAAATCATCATGAAAAAAAGACATGATCAATCACTGATGGAAAATTTTTCAGTATGGAAAATCACTGAAATCAGCCTTTTTGATACTAGGTAAATCATCAATGGGACATGGATTCCACATGCCAGGTGAAAAACCAATCCTTGGAGGAGTCTTGCTGGCGATGTTAGCTGATGAAAACGCTGGGGTGAAACGGTATCACCATTTTCCTGGGAAGTCTTGAATTATGAATCTCTTTCTTTTTTTTGACAGTATATAACTGTGAACATAATTCTAGCTCGTGGTTGTAGCTAGTGGTTGTAGTCATAGTTATATATATGGCGAAGGTTTTGACAGATGAAAAACAAGGACATCATAAGTGGCATCATCTTTCCATCTTTCACAGATCATAAAGCTATGACTAGCACTTTTCAGACCTTTCACAAAGCTATGACTACCACTTTTCAGTCCGGCTCGCCAGGTTGCGCAAGTTCATCTCCTCAGATTTGGTGCATCGCTATGGGTGCCTTGAGGTAGCTGCAGCCTTCGCTGCCTTGTCTATGCAGATGCCGGGAGCTAAGTGGCCACAGAGGATTCACCGGGTGAAGGTTGATCGGATTTTCATGGGGAGAACTTCGATGATTTCATGAGGATAACTTGAATCACTTGAATAATGTAAGTGTGGTACCTAAAAATGGTGGATAGATGCGGATAGCCATGAAATAATTGGGAACCTGGTGATTGATCATGAAATTATGGGATACCCTATATTTAGACAAATGCATATAACATAGGTTCATGATGATAGTTAACGAGAAATGACATCAATCAATTTGTCCTTGCGATTTTCCTGATATATCTGATATCACAGAAATGCGCCTTAAATGGGCCTTGAAACCGTTTTTGGTGGAGGTGTTGGTACCTACGTGCCGAGGTGCTCAGAACAAGAAATTGACACCTTCTTGGCTTCAGTCGAAGATGGTGAGCGAGGCTAAGAGGGGATTTCTGCTCGGTGAGGCTAAGAGGGGACTACATTTTTGCTTTTCGAGACCTTACAGCGAAGGCTGGTTTCTGGTTCTACCATGCTAGACCTTTTTCCGGTTTCATGGTGGGACAGATCTCATGGATCAATGGATAATTCTCCGAATTGGAAGGGAACATCTGCCCGAAACCATCATAATCCATCATAATTCATCATATTTCATCATATTTCATCATAAGTCATCATATTCCATCATAATTCATCATTGTTATAATTCATGGACACAGTATGGTTTTGGGTGAAGATTTTAGCAACATCGGCTCCAGGCCTTCGGGTGGCTCCCCTAGCAGCTGCATCCGCATTGCCAGCGATCGCATTTGGAGCACAAGGCTTCGAGGAGCTTCCGAACTGAAAGTGACAAGCAAGTGACAAGCACATGGAGGATGCTTGAAATGATTGACTTGCAGTTGAGTTCGTTCAGTGACCTCCATGTTTTTCTTTGGATTTCTGGACTATTAACACACGTAATTACACTATTTTGTTGTTAAGATTAACGCGACCTTTGCGGCACAAAGGGGATGCAGTTGTATCCCTGGCTCAAAAGAAGGACTTGCATTGCATCTACCGATCATCTACCTCTTAAAACATCCTGAGTTGGCCCACTCAACAAGTCGACATCCCAGGCATTTAGACTTGTCGGAGAGGCCACAGCCTAGGCTATTGTTATTATGATTTATTACTGCATGTACAATATAAGCCACAGTTACAATATCCCCATCATGCACCACGACCAACAACATCAAACAGCTCATTTCAGAGTGGTCCTTTGTTGTGCATTCCAGAAATGGCACACATATTGTTGCCATGGCTCCTATCGTTGATCTTCATCGGGAGCTCCGCGGGTCCTACGCTCAGCTGGCAACCTGGGCCCGATGGCCGGCTGGCTGTGATAGCAAACAAGAACTTTCGTGCAGGCCCTTGGAGAATTTGGGGTGCAAACATGGGATGGTTTCATAGCAGAAAACGTGGGACGTATACTTAATATACAAACGACAATAGCAGGAATGATGATGATAAGTACTAAACATACGGAAAATAATAGTGATGATGATGGTGATGGTGACGATGACGATGACGATGATGATGACGATGATGATGATGATGATGGTGGTGGTGGTGGTGGTGATGATGATACTGATGATGATGATGATGATGACGATGACGATGACGATGACGATGATGAGGATGATGATGATGATGATGATGGTGGTGGTGGTGGTGATGATACTGATGATGATGATGATGACGACGACGACGACGATGACGATGACGATGATGATGATGATGATGATGATGACGATGATGGCAGTGACAACAATAAGAACAGCAAGAACAGCAAGAACAACAAAAACAACAAGAACAACAAGAACAGCAAGAACAACAAGAACAACAAGAACAGCAAGAACAACAACTGCCACCACCACCACCACCAAGAAGAAGAAGAAGAAGAAGACGAAAAAAATAAGAAGAAGAACGACAACCACAATGATAATAACAACAGTAAAGATAGGTGCAAGTAAGGAAGACTTTTGTTTGAGCGCATATTGGTTGGTGTTTGTTTCAAGATGATAAAGTTCTTGGGGACTCGTGCTATCTTGGACATCGGCTATGGGTCGCAGTGCCTTCATGGTCATGCTGGGAATGCCCTCTAAATTCGGGCTTGGTGCCGAGATTGACTATTTCCCTGAAACTCAGCATTTTCAGCGGACCCTTTTGCTGAGATCTGATTCCCATCGAATCATGGCCTGCTAAAAATGGTTGGTCACCACTGAGTCATTGCGTGGGTGTGGGCTCGCACAGAGGTGAGGTGGTGGAACGTTGCTACTGCCTTCCAGTGGAGAAAACTCACATCCCCAGCAGTGCCCAGCTGCTGCCAGAGTATCTCTTTCGTGCATAGCTCAGCGGTATCGGACGGTATTGGAGGGTGGATGGTATAGGTGAAAAGTGACGAGATTGGGAATCGCATTTAGTAAAATTGGGTTACTTTTAACAATAGTAACGGTTAACATCATTAGGTAACTTTTAACCATCATTAGGAACAACGGAATAACCATAGTAAACCATAGGACACCATTACCATCCATTACCTATCACTACCTTTTGGTATCCACACCTCGGAAGCCAACTTTGATCATGCCAAAAATGCCGAAGCTGCGGAGGTTCGGCCGCGGCACTGTTGTTTCCCTTCGGCTGGGCCTTGCTGTACAACCGCGCAGCCCGAGAAGGTGGGCTGTGCGCCCAAAACTGGTGATGTTTGGATGTCCGTAGCATGATTTGCCTTGAAACATGTTGAAACATGTTGAAACATGTTGAAATCAGGTAACCATGGTCCTCTGGGTGAATCATGAATTTCCAAGCATCAATGATTCCGCGTGCGATTTCTTGAAGCAACATCTGGCATCATCTCAGCCTTTCCCTTGCTGGCTCTGAGATACCTGAAGCAGTACATGAACCAATCACAGGAACATGAGATCAGTGCTGGCCTCCAAACCACCCTGCTTCAAGACAATCTAGGCCGCGCAGACTACCAGGAAAGTCCCACTAGAAATGACTACGAGTCAAAACCATGGTCCTGGGCCCCAAATGCCAAATCTGTTCGTGAGCCAACGAAGCTGAGTAAAGCTGCTAAGATCTTCTAAGCGTATCCAAGTATGTCTCAGACCTGCAATGCCACCGATGTTCCAAGTGATCAGCTTAAGCGGATGCTTGGCTGCACCACGCGGGTCGAATCGGTCGAACTGTTGCTGTCCATGTCATGGATCTGACCAGTGTGGAGGTGGCTTTAGCGTTGTGCTATCCATTGGGAGATCCTGTGCAGCCATAGGTGAAGAGTTGCTGGAGCTGGATCTGGAGGAATGCGCATTGAGTTGCCAAAACTCTCCGGATTTTACCTCTTTCTTGCGCCTGGTCTGCAGAGAGCACCTCGTTTTTTTTTTGATTGGCACTTCATTTGTAAATAACTTCATAATACTGGAAGCGTGGCTATGGTACTCTGTCCCCAAAAAGGCTAGTATTCTCTTAGTATCTGAATGCCACGGCTCCATTCTCCTAATATAGGAGTAATATATAGGTTCATATAGGTTCCATGTAGGTTTCATATAGGTTGCTTCCATTGGTGTTCCTATGGCCTATGGCAGATTGGTGGCCGCCGTGGCCGGCACTGGGCAGGAAGAGAAAGATCCAGGAGAAGACGGGAGTTCCGGCCTTCCGACAGACGACGCCCGGCGTTTTTTTGGATCCAGGCTGAGGTTTTTCTGGGATACATGCTGTGGCTCGGAATGCTTCGAAGAGAATCCCATAGTAATACCATAGAAATACCATAGAAATAGAGGGGAATTATGAACGATGACGAACAATGACACAGGATTTTCAGTGTTTCTCCCAGATTTTGCAACGACTTCCTGCGGTCAAAATCTCCTGTTTTCGGCTCTCAGATCTCCTGAGGTTGTGCGACGTGGAAGAGGGACGCAGTTGGGAAGACTTGGGTCATCCCAGACAGGTCCCGGTGGTGCTGAATCGCCCGGTGAATGATCATGACGAAGCCTTGTTGAGGGCTGTCACTGAAGGCCTGGATCAAAAAAACCCGGATGGCATAGAAAATCCCCAGGTGTAGCTGAAAGAGACTTTCAAAAACTGGGAAGAATGAATCCATCCAGATAGGAACAAGAACTTATCCTTTGCTGTTTGACTTCCGCGAGGCAATGGTCAGGAAGCAGTCGCGCTGTTACGGGGCTTTCAGGACGTTTGCTCTGCAAAGTTGGGTCATTGTGTGGAGTGTTTGGCTACTGAATTTATGGTTTGGACAGAAAAGTCTTCAAAATGGTGATGGGTCAGTTTACCCTGGTACCCTGATGTAAAAGTACCAAAATAGCTGGGAGTTGTAGTATGTTATAATATAGATTTATGAGTTTAATATCTGAGGCTTCATTTAGGCAACATCTTTGTATTTCATATCCAGACTGCCGCAGGACCCAGACTGCCGAGATTTGTTGGGAGAGACCGCGCTCTCCAAGGCTCGATGGGGGTTATAACGAAAGTGGTTTATGACCCATAGATAGATGTTTGGGGGTATTGTAGATATATTATGATGTAACGCAATGGAATGCAATGAATGGAATGATTTGAATGGAATGGAATGGAATGGTATGTATTGGTATGCATGGATGGATGGATGGATGGATGGATGGATGGATGGATGGATGGATGGATGGATGAACGGATGAATGTATTTATGTAATGTGATGTAATGTAACGTAATGTAATGCAATGATTTAATGTAATGTAATGCAACATAAGTAGTGTGTGTAATGTAATGTATGTAATGTAATGCAATGTAATGGACTGGAATGGAATGGAACGGAATGTGATGTAATGCAATGCAACATATGCAGTGTATGTAGTGTATGTAGTGTATGTAGTGTATGTAGTGTATGTAGTGTATGTAGTGTATGTAATGTCATGTAATGTCATGTCATGTAATGATTAATGTAATGATTAATGTAATGATTAATGTAATGATGAATGTAATGATTAATGATTAATGTAATATAATGTATTGTATTGTATGTGTGTATACAATAGGCTGTTGAAATGTTATGACTTTGGTTCTTCACCAGGCAAGTCAAGCTGGGGACTTGCAGCTTTTGACGATGTTGCTGGAGGCGGGCGCTGACAAGGACTGACCGTCTGACCGTTGAGTTGTGGAAACTGATCAGCTCAAAATGGGGGTGACCCCAAATGGGTGGTTTATAATGGATGGTTAATGAAAAATCCCAATCTTTTTGATGGGTGAAAACGGTTTTTGTACCCCCGTTTTTTTTCGAAACCTCCAAATATGAGTGGTTTAGTATTGTTTAGTAGAAAAAAACACATCAACTGGTGAAAATTGGTACCCCAATTTGCCAAAAACTGGCTGCAGAATGGTGATGTGGAGGTGCTCATCCGACGTCTCTCGTCTCCCAGGAGTTGGGAGATCTGCACGGCACAAGGCCATTGCACTTGGCCGCGTTGCGCGGTCACCTGGAGGTAGTGAGAACTTTGGTGGAAGCAGGTGCGTTGCGTTTCGGGTACCCGAGGGTCAAAAGTCAAAGATTGCTTGGAATTGGCTTTCTGGGACAGGATTGTATTTTCCAGTGGCGGTTCTGTCGATTCTGTTTGGGTTGTTTGGGTTGGCTACATATCTAGTTGTCTTGTCGTCATGAGTTTGAAGGCATTGATTCGATCGTTGCTTAGTAGTGCTCAAGTGTAAGACTTCTCTCATACTTTGTCCTGACATAGCCATATTGTCCATGCACAGTGACAGCCAGCTCCAGGTGCAGAAACGTCCAAGGCTGATTCGCACGGTGCGGTTGCGCTACATATGGCGGCCCTGAACGGTGAGGTGGAAGTGGTGCGTTTCTTGGTGGAATTGGGCGATGACCAAAATGTGCTGGGCGATCTGGGTGCGACACCTTTGCACATCGCGGCAGAGCGTGGACACGTGGAGACTCGGCGAACTGTGCAGCTTGGATTTTTGAAACCGGTAACGATGCAGCATTTGTTGGTGGACATAACGGCAGTGATGGAATGCGTGCATAAAAGAATAATATATAAAGAAAAGCTGTGCGATGCCAAATCCCATGTGTTTGGTTGAGGAAGTGGTGCGGTATTTGGTGGAAGCGAGAGCTGACAAAGACAAAGTGAACCAACGTGGTGCACCAGCCATCCACATGGCAGCACTCAGTGGCCATGTCGCTGTGGTCCAACTTCTGGTCGACTTGGGGACTGACAAAGATCAGTCCGACTGCAACGGAGCGGGACCTTTACAGCTCTCTGCCGAGCAGGGCCAACTGCCGGTGGTGACGTATCTCACCGAGGTCAGCTGCGACCTGCAAAAGGCGGACCTCCACGGCACCGTGCCGTTGCACATGGCTGCCTTGCACGGGCATCTCGATGTGGTGCGGGCCCTGGTGGCGGCTGGCGCGGAGAAGGACTACGCAGATCATCATGGAGCCGTGCCGTTGCATATGGCCGCTTTGAATGGTGAAACCGAGCCTCGGTGCTTCAGAACCAAAGAATTGGATGATTTGATGATTTATATATATATATATACATAGCTTTAAGATGCTTTAAGGGAATGATGGAGCTGCCCATGGTGATCTCTTTCAACTGGCGGGTTGGATGTTGGTGAACGGCTCCCTTCATAGTTTGACGTGGTTGCACTGTGTTTCACCCAGAATCCCACCTCAATTGCCCTCTGGCAAACGTGACAATGACAATCCCCATCAATCCCCATTCGTAGCTGATTTTCTCATTCCAACCTCCATTGAGTTCGGGGATTTCCCATCGATTTCCCATGTCAATATATCGGGTTCTCAGGAGATCGTGCGCTTCCTGGTGGAGGCTGGAAACGACCCAGATAGCATGGCCGGTTTGGGTGCCACGGCGCTTCACATCGCGGCGGAGCGAGGTCACGGGGCCCTGGTGCGCTACCTGTTGGACGTGGGAGCCAGCGTTCAGAAGCAGAATCTGCGGGGCAAGAGCGCGCTGCACATGGCCGCCCTGAGCGGTCACCTGGAAGTACTTCGTCTCTTACTTGCTGAAGGAGCTAACGGTTAGTGGTGACATGGGTGTATTAAGAACCATGGTAGAACATATTCATCTACCGTTTCTATACCATAGCTACGGTACTACGATCGTCATAGGGTTGGAATGGTTATGCACACGTGTTCAGAGCAGCCATTTTTGGAACGCTTCAGGAGTTGACAAAGATCAGCTGGATCTGCAAGGTTCGACAGCCCTTTTGTTGGCTTCAAAGCAGGGCCATCTTCCAGTCGTGACTTTCTTATTGCATGCCTTGGCAGACCCTGACAGATGTCGTCCTGGTGGTACGAGCCCTTTACATGAGGCGGCTTTCGCAGGGCATTGGCAGGTGGTGGCTGCATTACTGCAGTTTTGCCAGCAGTTCGATCCAGTGGACGACCATCAGACCCCTGATTTTGCTTAGAGTATGGTTTTATTAATCCTGTCCTACTTGGTTAGTAAGTGGGTTAGTTCACCCCAGTTATAAGTGGATTAACCCTATTTATCCCATGTAAATCACTGGGGTTATAACCCACTTACGATTCGTGGGATGAGCCACCAAGTACCCTGTCATATTTAGGACACACATTTTGGGACTCGAGTTGAATCTGATACTTTCGACCTGACCGCCTCCATCCGCAAGGGCTCTGCCCTTGTATCTGGCTGCCGAGAATGGTCATGCCAAAGTGGTTCGCTGCTTGTTACAAGCGAAAGCCGACAAGGACAGTGATTTTAACCTGGGAAAATCTTCACCTGGAAACCATGGTCGTCTTCAGCCCTTTGACCATTTGGAAGAAAACTGCTGGTGAACTGCGTGAGGCATGTTTAGGAAGAAGCGGGGTTCGGTGTATTTCCAACTTGTGACATCATGGAACCCATTCTTGCACCAGGAAGGGTGTCATTCGCCACCTCACTGGTTTTTGATAGCTGGGATTGCTATGTAATGCTATCTGTACGTAGACATATATATATATATATATATTATATATATACTGTATATATATATATACATCAGCATCATCTTTTTTTTCGTTCTTGGGGTGAGGAGCACAGCGTGCACTCCGTGAGCCCGCTGCATGCTGCTGCACGGCATGGCCACTTGGAGGTTGCTGACGACTGTGGGATGATGGCTTTAGAGTATGGGAAATCAGAAAATCCGGGAAGATGGAAGATAATTGATTTGCTAATGATGGAAGAAATTTAGATGGAACATCTAGATAATTGATTCCTATCATGAAAAAATTGATTTTCATCTAAAATCATCTAATGATGGAAAATAATGGAAGAAATTTAGATGGGAATAATTTATCTTCAAAATTATGGAAGATGATTGATTTGCTAATCCGAAAATTATGGGAACTTGCTAATTGATTTAATTGATTTGTTCTTCCATCTTTTTGAAGCGATGAAATTTTAACTTGGAGTTGAACTATGGCCGTAGTTGGTGGTTTATTATGACCATTTGTCACTAATTAGTCGTACGTTGAAAAGTATTTTGGGGGTGCAGTTGAGGTTGTAGATAGGTATATAACCATACTTCTAGTTTTCTTTTTACAGTCCCAATGAAAAAACGATTTCATAGATAACATGATGTAACTGAGGTATATAACCATTATGTAACCATTATATAACCATTATATAATAACCGTAATATAACCATTATATAACCGTAATATATCTCCACAGTTGTAGCATTTTTTTCACAGTCCCCCGGCGTCGGCAGGTGCTGATACTCTTGTTGGAGGCCAAGGCTGACTGCGACAAGGTGCGAGTGGTCACAAAACAGTCTACTCAGAATGCCCTGGATACATACATATCTATATACTGTGAAACCAGCCTCCTGGCCTATTACACTATATATATAATAATATTATATATATTATATTATATATATAGATGTAGATATTGATATAGATAGATGGATGGATGGATGGATGGATAGATAGATATATAGATAGATGTATAGATATGTGTACATACAAAAGTCAAAATATACCTAAACCATTGAAGGAAACGCATCTTCATTCAGGACCGTGGCCAAGACACCAATGCTTCACCAGTTGAGACGCTGTCAGGTCAGCGTGGAAGGCAGCCGAGCCCTTCATTACGCCGCACGCTACGGCCATGCCGAGCTTCTGCGTTGCCTCATGGAGGCTGCGCAAGAGAAATTCCGTTTGGTCTCGATTTCTGCTGTGTGAGGAACTTATTGGAACTCATTGCGACCGATTGATTGTGAATGTGAGTGATTCTGACTCATCGTGACTCGCTCTGACCCATTGTAACTCATTGTGAGTCAGTGTGACTCATCGTGAATCGTTGTGGCTCATTGTGCCTCATTGTGACCTGTTTTTTTTACATATTCTACATTGGCTACATTGAACACTCAACCTCAATGGGATCAATAGGATTGGGTCTGGAATTATATATGAAATATCCAGGATTTCACCTGAATAGATAGATATGTATGTATATATATATATGTATATATATATATATATTGAACAATTAAAAATCCCTCAAAATAGGATTTTCCGAGATTTCCATGATATTCCCATGGTATTTCCATGATCTTCACATGGCCCAGGCTGGGGCGGAGCTGAATGCCGTGGACGGGAACTCACGCAGCGCCTTGTACTTGGCTGCGGAGATGGGACATGTCCAGGTGGTTCAGCGGCTCCTGGAGGCGGACCGACCGGAAAACCCATTGGGAAACCCATGGAAATACCATGGAAATACCATGTGAATGTCATGTGAATGTCATGTGAATTGAATTCCGAAACGCCATCAGATGACGTCCCTGGCCTTGAATAAAAACCGCCCGTCCCCGAGTCCGGTGAATCATTTGGATGGGATCAGGTTGGAATGGGAATATCATGGGGAATGATGTATAGTGTTTATTCTTTTTTTCCTGGATTTGATGTTTGTTTGTCTTAGAGATGTATATTGTTTTTTTTTTGGCAATGCCGCGTGTATTCTTGACTTCGAAAGGGCTGTACTAGAACTTAGCAGTCTTTTGCTGGATGTTTGATGTTTCACACGTACGAAAAAGTTTTCAAAACGAAGACGTAGCTAAGTAGCTAAGTAGCTAAGTAGCTAAGTAGCTAAGTAGCTAAGTAGTGGTTGAGTAATTTCTACAGGTTTTGCTCATACCAAAAGAGACTAAAGAAACAAACCGGTCACTACCCCATTGAATCAGGCTCGTGCCCGAGTCCACCAAGCAGATCGCCGTGGAGAAACTGGGAACAAATGCCAGAGGGTCAAGACGTCTTGTAAAACGAACAATTAACACATGTCATGAAAAGTTGTAATATGTTAGAGATTTAAGATAGATATTTGAGATATCCCATTTTCTCATTGAATTACTAAGAATTAGGCTTGAGAGGTCATGTGTCTGGCCTGGATTTTTTGGTATGTCAACCAGATGACCATTCGGAAAATCCGTGGTGTTTTTCCATGGTTTTTCCACATTGGTTCACAACGGGTGTCCTCCAGCTCTCGAGGAAAGTCCGTTGCATGCAGCTGCTGCCAGTGGTTCGGTGGAGGTGGTTCAACTTCTGATGTCTGCGGGTGCAGAGAAAGATCACGTCGGGCAACAAGGATCGGTCCCATTACACATAGCTTCCTTGTTTCTTGGCTATTCCTTAAAAGCCGTATTTTGATGTATTTTGGATCGGGTGCTAGAATTGAGAATTGGTACTTTCAACTGTACATCCTAATTTCGCTTGGTTTATCATAAGCCCAGAATAGTAAAATTGTCTGGGTTTACCACGATTCTTGAAGTCTACTTTCCATGAACTTTAGTGTGCAGCTTTCACCACCGAGGAACGGGCATTTGGATGTGGTACGTGCCCTGGTAGAGGCAGGGGCTGACAAGAACAAGGCGGGGCGAGGGTCAGAACGTGCCATGAGGAGTTGCGATGGTGAGCGCGTACCTTACCCGAAATGGCTTTGGCACCTGACAATGCAAAGCAATGCAAAAGAACAAAAATTGGTGGTCTCGGCGTGGAACCTCATTTCTCCATGAGAATGGCCATAAATTCGGAGTTAAATCAGTTTAATCCTCTATATTCCAACACACCCAAGAATGAGGCCTACACACATACATACATACATGTATGTATATGTATATTATATATATATATTTACACACAACATATATATATATGTATATATATAGACATATATGTATATATATAGACATATATGTATATATATACACACTATATATATATAGATAATATATATATATATATTATAGAAATACACATACATACATGTACCCCATTGTATTTCCACTGGATCAATATTGCCGTCAGGCCGATTATCTGGGTGCAGCTCCCCTACATCTAGCTGCTGAACAAGGATGTCCACCTGTGGTGCAGTACTTGTTGGAAGTCACTGGGGCAGAAACAAATCATCGGTGAAACCGGTGCCAGGTGATGATTTCGGGAAGTTCATGGTTGGTTCGTTCCTGAAAATTGGGGAGATATTGATTGGTTGACCATATAACAATAGGACTTGGGCAGGGTTTAACCATCAACAATAGGGATTATAATAGGGAGAGCAGGGACAGCTATCCGGTAGTGAATGGAGGGAGCGCTGAATGGAAGCTATGATTGTATCCACCTTCCCTCTTACAAAATGGGGAGCCTGCCAATTATATGTATATATATATACATGTAATACGTGTGCTATGCCCCAAAGTCTTTCGGGATAATTGTCGGAACCCTTATTTTTGGCTGTGGGGCGTAGTGCAGGTGCTGCGCGTAACAATTGTAGCATTGTAGCATTAATGATACTGATGAGAATCATGATGCTAATAATTAATGATACTAATAGTGATACTAGTAATGATAGTAATGACACTAACAATGAATGTAATGAACATAATGATAATAATAATGACAATAATAATTATGATAATGACAATAATGTTAATAATGATGGTAATGATTATAATGATAATAATGCTAATAACGACAATAATGATAACAATGATAATAATGATAATAGTAATAATGATACTGATAACAATACTGACGATAATGACAATATTGATAATAGTGATAATGACAATAATACGAATGATAACAATGACAGTGATAATACTGATAATAAAGATAATGCCTGATAATACTGATATTGCTGATGGTGCTGATAAGAATGACAATAATGGTGATAATGATAATATCAATGACAAACATAGCGATAGTACTAATGACGATAATAATGACAATTATAATATTAACACACACACACATATATATATACACCGTTATACGCATATAAACAATAATAATAGTGACAACACTAATGATAAGGATAGTAGTACAAACACACACACATGTACATATATGTGTATATATAGATAATATTGTAACCACCCAAAGAGATAAACACACAACTCACTAGCACTTCGGCAACATTTCACCGTCTTTTTTTTGAGCCAAGTGGGTCATTTTTTCGATCGCTCCAAAGGTCAATGCTGACCAGGATCAGCCAGACGGTCTGGGGATGGTACCACTACGCTCGGCTGCTCTGAGGCTTCGCCGAATCACGAGTAGTGAATTGGGTAGCCCCAAATTCATGGTGGATGAATCAGGGTTTCTTTATGTACCCTCTGGTAATTTAACATAACTACGGAAAGATCGGAAAGATCCACCATTTTCAATGGGAAAATCCACTATAAATGGTGATTTTCAATAGCTATGTCAAATTACCAGAGGGTAAACCCAATGAATAGATATGAATAGTCAGGTTATGAATCCTGGGTTGACATTATCATTTTTTGGCAAAGTGTGGAGTGAATGTGGATGATGCCCTCGCCCTCGCTGTGTGCTGAAGGTCTATGTCCATACCATGTATTGGATTCCATACCTCATGGATTCCAGCAATTGTTGCAGCTTAAGCGGACCTAGTGAAACATCACTGCATCACTGCATCACTTTTTGGCATAGCACTGCAGGCTGTACATGATTGCTCAAACCACCCATTTGGATTGATCATAATAAGACTGAATAAAGACTGAATAAACAACTTTGTCTGAAAATATGGCCAGTTGCGTTAAATCCAGTTGTTGATCATCATTTTACCCCTATGGCCATGTTTGGAGGAACCCTTCCGGCAGTGTTTCAGGGCACGGTAGCACCAAGGAATGGGCAGCTGGAGACGGTTCTCTGTTTCCTGGAGTCGGAGGATGAGGGCACGGAAATGTCCCGAAAATGATGAAACCATGGGAAAGCTGGAAACTTTTTTTTTCCATCCTGGAAATACTTTTCTATCTTGATTTGGGTTATATATAATGGGATATACTATGGGATAATGGGTTATATATAATGGGATATTGATTGGATATAAAACGATATAAAACCAAGAATGTGATTTGGGTGTGTCTGAAAATAGGCGGGTGACCACCAAGTCCTTGGAAATTAGGGAAGACGATGAGAAACCGGTGGCCCAGTGGGGACACCACTATGACATAGCGACTTTTTCAGCGAGACTGTGGAGTTCACCCACAGCGAAACTGTACATAGCGCTGCAGCACAGTTGTCAGCGAGGCAACAGTTGCCGTGAATCCGTGCCCTCCGGCAGAGTAGTGGAAAGATGCGCTCCTTCAATAAAGGACCCCAACTACAAGTGGAGGATTTTATCATATTTTATCCCATTGAATTTTTCGATAACCTCAGAGGGGGTCAAACAACGGGATTTCATGACTGGGACGAATTGCCAGGCCCAGCAGAAATTCTTGTGGATCGTCAAATAGCATATGTAACACTGTATTCCTGTAGGATGATGTAATAAATATGGGTAAACTTCCTCTGGCATTGGCTTTAGCACATGATATACTAATGTTGGTGATAAACACATACATACACACATATATATATATTCCTAGTTGGATGTGCATCCCACTTAGGATCTGTAGTTTATATTCCGTACATAACCCATTTCATCCTCTATACCTACCTACCTACCTATCTATCCATCTATCTATCCATCTATCTATCCATCTATCTATCTATCTATCTATCTTTATTACTTTCTTTTCTTTCTTTCTTTCTTTCTTTCTTATCTTTCTTATCTTTCTTATCTTTCTTGTCTATCTTGTCTATCTTATCTATCTTATCTATCTTATGTATCTTATCTATCTTATGTATCTTATCTATCTTATGTATCTTATCTATCTTATCTATCTTATCTACCTTATCTATCTTATCTATCTTATCTATCTTATCTATCTTATCTATCTTATCTATCTTATCTATCCTCTCTATCCTATCTATCCTCTCTATCCTATCTATCCTATCTATCCTATCTATCCTATCTATCCTATCTATCCTATCTACTATCTATCCTACTATCTATCCTACTATCTATCCTACTATCTATCCTACTATCTATCCTACTATCTATCCTACTATCCATCCTACTATCCATCCTACTATCCATCCTACTATCCATCCTACTATCCATCCTACTATCCATCCTACCATCCATCCTACCATCCATCCTACTATCCATCCTACTATCCATCCTACCATCCATCCTACTATCCATCCTACTATCCATCCTACTATCCATCCTACTATCGATCCTACTATCGACCCTACTATCGACCCTACTATCGATCCTACTATCGATCCTACTATCGATCCTACTATCGATCCTACTATCGATCCTACTATCGATCCTACTATCGATCCTACTATCGATCCTACCATCTATATCCATCTATCTATCCATCTATCTATCTATCCATCCATCCATCCATCCATCTATATTATATGTATATTATATGTATATTATATGTATATTATATGTATATTATATGTATATTATATGTATATTATATATGTATGTATATATATATATATCTATATATTAATTAGGGGATATTCCATATATAACTGGGGGTGTAAGCCATCTACTAGGTGGGACCCTGCTTTCGGAGGTGATCACAATGTCTCCTGCGCCCATGAAGTCCGGAAGGACCGCCAGGGCAAGGTGCGGCACTACGTCCTGCTGCGTGCTTTGTCATAAAACCGCTGTGGGAAGCAGCACTTCAGCTGCCCGAGGATCATCCGACTCGCAACGGTTACTGGGCAACCCAATTTTGAATGGTAATCAACCATTGTTGCATAAGCCATTGGTTGGTAACCCAGCTGTAACATCAATGGGGACGTACCAACTAGGCAGCTGTGAAGCCCAGCTCTCAGGTGCTCGTATGGAGGTGCTCCAAAATACTGAGCTGCTGCTGTCCTGCAGCTCCGTGGCCGGAGGGATGCCATCTGTGGCGCTGGAGGTCGCGGTTTGAAACGGAACTGGTGGCTCATGATGAAGGTGATTTGACAGTGCAACCATAAGTGGCTTAACTATGGTTTATGGTAGATATAACTATAGTGAATGGATCTTGATGGGGTTTAGAAGCCAACAAACATCACTGGGGGGCACCATCCTGTTGTCTAAGTCTGTCGGCAGAGGCGTGCGGAGCGCGGCCGCCAAAGCCCTACATGAGCGAACCATTTGCGCCTTGGCAGATCAACGGCCCTCACCGAATCTATGGAGTGCAGCATGAGCCAAGGATTTCGTGGATGGGGTCTTACCTTACAGCACCGGCTTGAAGGTGAAGTATTCCAAGCTGCATGGCAATGGGGTTTATGCCCAGAAGGCCTTCAAAGAAGGCGAGATGGTGGAGTTTGCCCCCAGTGTTTTGCTGATGAACACTGAGATGCTTGGCATGGCTTACAGGCTTTGACCCAACAGATTTCAGACATCATCCCATATCATTCCTCCAGGATTGGCTGAATCATCCCCAAGTGGCCAAGCGACGCCCAGGATGGGCGGCTTGTTAGCGGATTACCGCTACTCTGCTGAGAGCCTGCGGGAAGGGCTCTTTCGAAGCTTGGTAGATGACATGCCTTGGAAAAGCATGGGAGAATCTGGATGAAAATGAGGGATACATTTAAATTTGTGGACAGGATGGTGAATATGCATTTTAACCATGCAATTTTAATATACTAGATCCAGTTTTACATGCAAAAAATACTGTATGTGTATGTATGTATATACACACATAATTCTAAATACACAATACACATGTACATGAGACCACAAAAGCAGCAAGGAGTGGTGCTTGGTTGCGGCAGCATCTACAACCATTCAGCCGTACCCAACCTGGGATACCGCCGTGTGCGAGTTGATGGAACGAGCGAGGCAGTTCAGGGGCTCAGTGTGTCTTGGCGCAGCTATAGCAGCGAAAGGCAATGACGAATCTAAATATATAGCTGAATATAGCATAAAATGTGTCTATAGCATCTATAACATCTAAATATTATATGCCACATTATTGACACTATGGCATGGAATTCTCATATTTGTCATAATGCACCCAGTGTCATTCACACAAGGAATTTCTCTAGCCATGCTGCTTCCGTACTTCATGCAGCTGCTACACTGCTACACATCGCTGAAGGTGTGCTACTACGCGAAGCGCGACATTGCCGCGGGTGAAGAGATGTTGTTTCTCAGTTAGGCTTAGTTCTCCTCGCCATGTTAGGCTTGGCTTGGAGGATTTCATGGTGAAACTTCCAAATACCATCCATATGGATTGATGGTTGACCATAAACCAGCCATAGAAACAGGGTCCAATTTAAGGGGTATGGTGGATCCAACATTGTTCCCAACATGGTGGATCCTATTACCTTCTGGTTATGACTAACAGTTCGCCATGGAAGCCATGGCCCATAGAAATAGATGGTTTACCTATATAGCTATAAAATGGGTGGATTTTCCATGGCTATGTTAAATAACCAGATGGTAAATAGTATGCTAATTATATATATACACATGTAATACGTGTGCTATGCCCCAAAGTCTTTCCGGATAATTGTTGGAACCCTTGTTTTCTATACCAATCCTTGTTCGTTTCCAGACTCCGAGGATCTCTTACGGCAAGACTTGGTGGAGCTCTCGTGGAATCCACGATGCCACCGCAGCAGCCCAGCTGCTACTGCCGTCGTCTTCATCACTGAGTCCCAGTGAAGGGTCCGATATTTGGTGCTGAACAGATTTGTTGTTCCCTTTATTGAGCTGAAGATGTAAACATTGGGATAGTCTCTAGGATTCTTTAGCATCGAACTGGAATATTTGAAAGGACAACGGTCCGAACAGTTCATACTTCCATTGGTCCATACTGAACATGCTGACTTCATCTGACTTCATCTGACTTCCATGACTTCCATGACTTCCAATCTTCAATTTCCAGTTCGGGTACCTTGAAACGGGTACCGCCAGCGGGTACCGGAGCGCGCGCCGGAGACGACTCACCGGAGGATCCACTGGATTCGGTTCGACAAACGGTCCCGTGTGGACCGGTCTCGTGAGGGAAAAAAACCAATGAAGAAATTGAAAGACTAGTGATATATAAATATAAATATATATATAGATGGATATAGATGATCTGAATTTTCGATTGCCCTATATCCATCTATATCCTTGATATGAAGCTCTAGTTACACGCTGGTGATGGATTTTGCTGCGTTGCTGGACAGTCTACTTGGCGATCGACTGTGGAATTTGTATGAATTTGTGGGGCACCATCTACTGCGTCAAGTGGTGGATTTGAAGTTAATCACTTGGAAATGGAGATTCTCATGCTTCAAACATTTGCCATTGCCATCCATTGCCACATCTGCCATGGTGCCATGGTACCGCAGGATGCTTTGATCGATGTATTGCAGGCGCGGCTGAGGAAGTCTGGAGCTGTTTCGGCGCAGCTGGAGGTTTTTGATACAACGCAGCCATTGGCTCAAGACATGTTGCATTTCTCCTGGGAAGCTGCCAAAAACATGATCAAAACATGCCAAGTTGCCGGTTGTCTTCATGTTCTATAATTAACATTCGAATCAACATTAATTCGCGAAATATTCACATTCATTAACCCATATTAACCCCAAACATGAGTTTTGTCTCGTTTTTTTTTCATGGAAAGTTCGACTGTCCTCAGTTTTTCTTCAGATCTTCGACGGAGCCATGGGACCTTCGCGATGCCGACGCCATGGCGTGGCGCTGGTCGTGGCTGTCCAAGTTATGGCAGGTTGGGATCACCGAGATCAGTTGGATCACGAGGATACGGAGGATCCAAACTGTTATATTTAAAATATGTATATATATATATATTCAAAAAATATATATATATTTAAAATATGTATACATATATATATATATATATTAATATACCTATCTATATGCCTGATCTCATGAGATCGTGGTCAGCATAATCAGATTCATCAGCATAGTGCATTTAACTTAAGGAGCTGAGTCAATACGGCAGGCGCCAGCTGCTTCTTGGGGAAGTCCGCCGTTCCCAGCAGGACAGGTGCAGTGCAGTGCAGGGGAGAAACTTCAAGACACGGCACCCATTTCCGCAGCTTCAAGGAAGATATGTAAAGGACTGAGTTTATATGGGTGAAATTAGATTGTCGCGTGTTTTGATTGGAGTTCTTAGGAATCACCTTATGGGGATGGCACTATGGTTCAATGCAAGTTTGCGGTAACCCGGGAAGCTCCCTGCGAACCTGATCCAGGAGTCTAACCCCCCAGAGACCGAGCCCTCACTTTGCCCCGACGCGAGGCTGGGTCACTGGGTTTTCCCCAGATTTCTACAGCAAGATCGCTGAAAGATCATGAAACTTCAGCCGCTTGGGCACCGACCTATCCCCCCTATTAGGGCCGCGCCAGCAATGACACCTCTGGGCCAAAAAGGTCAACCCAGGATAAATCAACCCCCAGTTTATTCATCAGGTGAGCCATTAAAAATACCCTGGTTGATTGGTTACTATAGGGACTTCTACTACCTCATTTACTGGGGATTATGATAACCGTAGGGGAACTTATCAGCCAACCACTGACAACTCCCATTGGCATCCCCAGAGTCCGACTGGCAGGTCGCCTTGCTCGCTCGGTCGCAGAGAGAACGGAGGCTGCCAAGGGGAAGGATCAATACTTGGCATGTAGTAAGTGGATTGTGACCCAAAACTGGGAATATTCCATATACATACATATGTATATAGATGTATATATATATACATCTATACATATGTATATATATATATATATGTACATATGTATGTGTATGTATATATATATATATCTAACTAGGGGTATACTGGGGTATTTAACATGATTATCCACTTACGAGCCGTGGGATGATCCCAAGTAGCATTCAACACTTCAACGAGGGACCACAATGGACCAGAGTTTTGAATTTGCCATAAAGCCATGGCTGGCAATTATCGTGATACGGCATGTATGTATATATATATTTATAAGGTTTATCTCCCTACTTAAAGTTAAAGAGTTACTGTTTGAGGAAATCCCTAATATATATATATATATTCACACTGTTACATAGGTACATATCTCAGCACATTGGTCAACACCTTTCAACATGATCATTCGGTAGCACACGAGCAATGTTTTCAGGCGATACATCATATGTGACAGCCAAATTCCCAGCCATTTTTTGGTGCTTGGTCCTTGTCTGCTGAGATACACATTTAACTAGGGTGCCAGGTAAAAGGAAGGACACGGAAGGCTGTGATGGGCACAGCCCATTTGGGGCATCAAAATCAACAGATGTTTTTTTTCCATTGAGAAGCCATCTTCCTCTTTTCCCACGACGCCAGAGTTTTTGTCTGGCCTCTGGTCATCAAACATGGCTGGCGCTGGAAAATCCTGAAAAGCTGGTTCGATGATTTTTCCATCTATAGAAACCCGGATTTTAGGTGCCGAACGTTTTTGAAACCCGGAAATTATGGAGGAAACACCAGGTAACATCCTGGAAAAACAACTTACCAACAAGGGATTTCCCCGCCATGTTTGATGACCCCTCCGGCGTACTGGAGGCCAAAGATCCGACTGCCGCGCTGGCGCTGGTGGGCGCTTTCGTAGGGCCCTTTGTGGATGCCATCCACAATCAAGCTCTTCTCAGCTCCTTGGTTTGGATGGTCAAAACCTATGAAGATGTGCCTCTGATGACTGGGGGAATCAAAATCCAACCAGCTATGACTTGAGGTACCGTTTGGGTCCCAGGGTTTTGACAAAAATAGCCATATATGGACATATACTATCATATACACATTGAACATTTTTTTGGTTTTCTACGATTTTCTTGTGGAGTCGAGGAAAGCTTTGGAATCGAAGGCCCCAAAAGGTTGACGCACATCTCATGCACTGAAGTATCAATAAGCGAGGCTATGATGTGCTGCCGGTGACTTTGAATTTGGGCCTCGGTTTTGCCAAGACTTCCTTGCTGGTGCCGCCCTTACTGGCACTTGCCTATGCTCTGCTTGGGTCATTGCTGCCTCGACTGCTGGAGGCCATTGGTGGCACTGAAGCTGTTGGGAGGTTGCCATTGCTGCGGCCGCAGCCAGTGCTGCGAGCAGTTCTGGCGGTGGCGTCCACCTGTTTCATCATCAAAATCAGTGAGCTGTTGGTGACCAGCGATGGTCCATCAGCCCTGCTGCTACTGAGCCTGTTGGCCCTTTTCCAATGGGCAGCTTTGGATGGCCGAAGGTCGTCGCTGACCTTGGCGTTGCTGGCAGGTCTGCTTGGACCCTTGGCTGAGCTGCCACTGATTTCACTGGGTGCCTGGCACTACACACAGCCGGACTACTGGCCCTTGACGTGGCTAGGCCTTGGGCCTGGCACCTGGGCAGCGCTGTCCATGGTCACCGGGCCTTGTTACTTTGCGGTGACCACCGATGCCATCGCCCTGGGGCGGCTGTTTGCAGGGAAACTCTGATCGAACTGGAGATCCGAGAGATGCGAGAGATCCGAGACCGAGTTCACATCAGAAAACACCAAGGACACCAAGGATGTTAGGAGTGCCAGGTGGATCCGAAGTCATGTCATTAGCAGATGCTTTACGAGACATTCTCTGGACTCTTGGAGACTTGCTCGGTGCCGAAGTGAAGAAGTGGCCATGAACGACCTACCTTCCCTCAACGAGCGGACGACTTGGCTCCAAAAACCGCGTGGCGGTTTCTCAACACACACTGTGTGAAACGTATTTCTTTGTTGATTCCAAGTTCCAAATCTTTCAACTCACAGAAATCTGGAGTCTGGATCCAATCATCACAGCGTGTTGAGCGGCTTGCCAGGTGCGTGTGTCCCGAAAGAATGCACGGAGACTCTTTCGTCAGCTAGTGCCTTTGGCAGAAGTTCTGGGTGGAGGACATCACATGGGAAACCCTCTCTCCCTCCCTCTCTCTCTCTCTCTCCCTTTCCCTTTCCCTCTCTCTCGCTCTCTCTCTCTCTCTGTGTCTCTTTCTCTGTCTCTTTCTCTTTCGCTTATGCTTTCGCTTTGTCTTTCGCTTTCTTTTTTTTTCTCTCTCTCTCTCTCTCTGCTGCTTCCATTTGTCCCAAGCAGTCTTGTAAACATGGGTAACCTCCACTTAATCAGCCACATGGCTTGCTATAATTCACCCAACAAAAACACCTCAACCATCAGTAGCAACTTGTTTTTCAAGCCGGATAGGGCACATCTCTTTGGCTTTAGCTTTCCGGTGTGGTTAAATATCTGAGAACTGTTAAACATCATCCCTAAATCAGATATTTTTTGGGGTGGCTGGTACTCAACGGCCTGAGGCTTCCACGCCGTGTTCACAAAGAGCGGCAATAGGAGCGAAACGGAGCAGGATGGTCATCATCCCCACATGGTTTTCATAGGGGTTATATATGTGCGTGTATATATAATATAATATAATATAATATAATATAATATAATATAATATAATATAATATAATATAATATAATATAATATAATATAATATAATATAATATAATATATAATATAATATATATAATATATATATATATAATATATATAATGATGGTGTTATCACAGTGGTCATCAATAGACAAGTAATTCATCAATAAACCAATCTATAATATGTGTATCACATATGGTATACATAGATTCACATCCGTTCATGTTAAATCAAAACACCAGCCATAGGAAGTGTCGGAACAACCGCACAACTCACGCAGCTCCTGGGCAAGTCGTTGGGTCTCTCAGCTTTTCGGTCCCGTGGACGCAACAAAAATAACTGAACACATCCCAGAAACATGGGTTAAATATGGATTTATATATGGCTAAATATGGTTAAAACCCCAATAGCGGTTTATTGTTTTACAACTAAACATATTACATTAAAGATTGGTCATCTCCAGTAGTTTATGGTTGTTTTGGTTATCCCAGAGAACATGTCTTCCGCAAGGCCAGATGAGAGCCATGAGAGCCATGGAGCGATTTCTCCTCCCAGGTGCACGGAGAACTGGGAGTCAAAAATGTACAAAGGATTCAAAGGATATTATATATAGTTACTATGGTAAACTAACATAACTATGAAAAATCACAATTTTTATTGGGAAAACTCACTATAGATGGCCATTTTCAATAGCTATGTTAAATTACCAGAGGATAGTTACTATAGTTATATAATATAGCTAATATGCATATTTTCAAAGAATTATGATGATGACTAGCAATTGTGACTACTATTCTGAGTACTATTGTTACAAGTATGTATACTAAGACACTACATACATCATATTGAATATATTATATAATATGTATTGATATATATATATATATATCTATATTATACATTATTGAACATATAAAAATATACGTATTGTACACACTGGTACTTACTTCAATCCATCTACACCATGCTCAGTACGGTGTCCAGCTCTGTCCTCAGCAGGCAGACTCCGCAGACTGCCCAAACTGCACGCAGTCAGCCGGCGAAAGGTGTGGCTACAGCTGGTGATGTTTTGTAAAAACAATCCGAATATCAAAGATGATAAGCTGGGAAACCCCATGAAACATATGAATATGATTTTCGGAGCTCCAGAGTTTGTGCCCGCATGTTTTTTTGGTTTGAACATAGGGGAGATCCTTTGATGAACGAATCATTTTAGCTCATGATGTTTAACAGTTATCATCATTTTTTAAACATTTTAGCTCACGTCTATTTTACCCTCTGGTAATTTAACATAACTATGGGAAATCACCATCTTTAATAGGTAAATCAACTATTTCTATGGGCCATTTTCAATAGCTATGTTAAATTACCAGAGGGTACCTCATTTTGAACACCAATGATTTTTCAGAGCCAGGTCTGAATCGAAGCCAGTCGGAAGGCCGCAACTCGAAAAATCAATGGCTGATGAGGATTTTTTCGATGGCTATCCCAGGGGTTGGTACATGTACATCACTTGAAAAAGTATTTGTTTGAAGATGATATATATATATATATATACACAAACAAATCCCCAATAGTTCGGGATGCTTGATTAGGACATTCATATACCAAGCACTCTTTTCTTTCGAATCTCTTTCGCGAAACCAAGCCGAGGAACACGGCCCAAGACAACGCGGCTGGAGGCCGATGTTTGCTTTGAGGACATGGAAATTCCATGTTTTTTTTTTTTGCGAGTCTGTGAGATGGAAATGTGGGTCATCGTCACAACAGGTGGGTGTTGCAAAGAGGTGCAGTCCGCTGGGAGATTCCAAGTCTTTGATCGTCATGAAACTGACCCGGTCAGAACGGAACCAACTCTTTTTGCTGACCAGAAATACTTTGGGCAGATATTCTTACCCACCGTTTGTATTCCAAATGTGTTGAAGTTCAGCCAGATACAATTGGTCGAAGGGAAAATTTGCACGAAACCCTTGCAAAGTGATGGTAAAAAGCCAAAATCACAATGAACCAGCCAGCAAAAAGGGATGACAGAGAGTTCTGAATGCTGCTCGATTGAAATTCATTGGATTCTTCCACATCACCAGCTCTTAGAGTCCACTCATTGGGGCATTGGGGCGCCTTGGGGCCATGCCAGGCCATCCTTGGGCGTGTGCATCTTAGTGAATGACCCAACTGCAACAGATAATACGCTAGTCATTGATCCGCCTGGTTTCCCAGGGTTTTCCATCTTTTTCATCAGTGAATGAAAGACTCTGGAGGAAAAACAGCGATGGTCAAACTCTGGAGTCTCATCTTTATTTTGGGATCTGAAACTTGGCCCCAAAATCTGGTGAATCATCATTTTCCCACAGATGGCGTTCCAAAAAATGGGGCTGTTCCAATGAGGTCCACTTGCAGGAGCAGATGCGACAGCATTGGCAGGGCGGTCTCAGGGAGAAGCGGGAGATCGAGAGCGAAAGCCAGAGCCTCAGGTGGCGTAGCCTTCGTTCCTAAAGCAGAGGAATCTACTGCAGATGTCCTTGGCCACAAGGGATTCCCATATACCAAGTGTTTGTTACAAATGTTACGTAGGGATTCTAAACCCTCCGCGGTTTCAGAACCATGGCCATTTCTGGTTGGAACTGGGTTCCAGATGTTCCAGGAAACCCAACGTCTTGCAGGTCCGGATACCTCGAAAGTGTCATCCAGGAGGTGGATGCGCCTTGATCCATGACGTTGTGGGCAGCATGAAGAGATGATGCAAACAGATCGAACATGGTGAATCAAGATGAACAAATCCACGACCCAGGTGTTTGCTTTGTGCCTTCTCACACCATCATTGCCATACCATACAGGTTCTTCACATCTTTTGGGTGAATCACTTGTGAACCACCAATGCCAGGTCGTCCTTGAAAACTCCTCCACCAGTGCAGTCGTGACCCTGGTACCCCCAAACTTCTGCTCCAAATCTTTCGCATCCCAGAAAGTCCAGACATAGCGCAGTGCATAGTGGCAGTGCATGCTGAGTAGTCTCAAGGATGTGGTGAGAACTTCATAGAACTTCATTCTCCTGCAGTCATTGGCGATCATCCGAGAATATTGGCCAAACTTGGGTGCCCCAAAATTCGAAATGACCCAATCTGTGATCACCTGAGCCGGAAAACATCTTGGCCCGTAGCCGAAAAATCCCCTTTGAAATCCTTCTTTTTTTGCTTGGCGTCATGAATTCCGAAGATGTTTGTCTAGATCTGGTTAAATCCCCAAGTTTGTTGGTTAAATCCCGGTCAAATCCTCTCTGCGGGCGGAGCTTGTCCACCGGTCAAGGCCTTCAAATTCTACGGGCTCTTTGCCACCAGCTGCCGCTTGGACACCTAAAAACTCAATGCTCACAACTCATATCATCCAAATCATCCATGTATGGTGCATATATGGCATATACCCGGCAATATACTCTCCATATATCCATATATCATCCCAGTGAGGAAAACCCAAGTGCTTGGAGTTTTTTTTGCAAAGCCATGAGACGTCCTGGACGGCGCGATGACGTGATGACGAGGCGAATCGGAGGAGCTATGAAGCCGGAGGGCCTGGGGTGATAGTCGACACAGTAGACATATGGGTATGGATCAATACCTATTAATACCATTTTTAGGGGGATGAACATCCATAAATCCCAGCTATTTTGATGTGAACTACAGGGGTACAAGGTTTTGACACACTGCCATATGATAATATGTATATATCTATGATATATCTATAACTAGTACAAAGATGACATGCCGGAGAAAAATCATCCCAGTTGGCTTCTGTGCGAACCGTGGCGAGTCGATGTCAGTTCCCATCATAGGAATAGTCCACATTCTTGGGATTTTGTAAGGGTACCCTCTGGTTATGACTAACAGTTCGCCATGGTTTTTCGATGGCCCTAATCGAAATAGATGGTTTACCTAGCTATAAAATGGGTGGATTTTCCATGGCTATGTTAGTCATAACCAGATGGTATCTGCATATTTTGGGGCTTGAGCAGTTTATGAGGACCCTTACCTTTTGCACTGCTCCAACTGATGTTGGATCGCATACCACAAATCGGTTTGATCCCCATTTTCTGGAGCTAAAGCCTCAAAAATAGCCTCCAGCGTGTTTAAGAATGTTTCACATATTTCACATAGATAAGACCCACAAGAATTGTGTAGATCATTGTATATCATTGTAGATCCTTGTAGATCATTGATCATTGTAGATCATCATATATTGATATTATATGATGTTATATAAA